TTGGAGCCAGACAGCTTTGATAATCAGATATCTGGGCAGAAGATTATACTGATGGACCATATATCTTGGACTGTGAAAAAGAGAGTGAGCTAGGGAGTGAGGGGGACCAATCAAAGCAGGCAAAGAGAAGAATAATGAGACAAAGTAATAGTGCTCAGCTGTGGTGAGTGAAGGCCCTTCCTTCACTCACTCAGGGAGAAAATAAGGGAGTACAAAAAGAGGCAGACTAAGGGGGATAAAACAAAGAAAAAAAGGCAAACAGAAGATGGAAAGGATGCAACAGACACTCCAGCCTGCATCCTAAACATTCTCTGCTCTGGCAGAAGAAAGGCTTGCGTTGACTCTTTGAGAACCCTTTGATAAACAAGCCTACTTAAATAGAAACATGCACCACATTCTTCAAATGCCTGGGAGGATCAGACTGATATTTCTCTCCAAATTCTCTGTCAGTTAGTTCTGGCATTTCAGGAGAGGGAGAAGAGATGCCACAAGTGTTTCCTAGCAACAGTTTGCAGCAAAATCCTCCCCCTCCCAGCTGCTTTCCTCCATATCCCCCGCCTTTAAACTCCCTCCTTCCCTGAGATGCGAGTTGCAGCAATGCACCATTTGCTTCAGACCTGAAATACATTCCAATTCTCCTGACTCTCCCTCCCTCTGCCTCTTGCTCCATTCGGCAAGCTGCCAGGCCTGCAGTCAAATGACATTCAGGTCCCCTGTCATGTGTAAAGATAAAGCAGACAGTGAAGCTATTCCCTGTGAAAGCTGACGGCACGGCAGCTGAGAACTGTTGGCAGACAAAATAGACAGAACACAGCAGTATTTGACCCTTTCACAAGCTGAATGGTTACTGGGCAGGAACCTGACTTTTACTCTTTGATTTCACTTTTCTTCTGCTCCTTTTTCTGCTGCTCAGGCGAAAAAGAACATCTCACAAAAACTGGCTTGTGAAAAGGCTGTGTGGTTTGTTGATGGATAAGAATTGCTCCACTGGTCCAAATCCGCTTATTCAACACAGTGATCCAATCGCACCCACTTGTTGATTTGTAAGAATATCCCTAGGGTTTGAGGAGCGGGTGTGGAGCCCAGCTGTAGGGGAGTGCTGCAAGGCAGGGGATGAACTCTGTAATGCTGGTGGCAGCAGACAGGGGGCACCAACATCTGACTAATGTGTTCTATTAAAAGCATTTCCATTTCGTTAGTGGATGGATGGATGTCTGGTCACACATCTCTGTCTCACTGTGGATCTGCAGGGAACAAAACAACAAAATTTAGGCTGAGTGGATTCTTTAAAATATACAAATGCAAGTCCATCTCCCCTCTGAATTTACATGAAATGTATTAGTTAAAAGATGACCTGAGCAACAAGCAGAGGTCTGAAAGTGACTAGTGATGGCTATAAAGGCATAGGCAACAAACACAGGGGTGAAACATGAAGTCACAGGTGACCAACTAGTTCACTGGCAGGTGAGAGAGGGAGAGGGAGGGTTTAAACTTTAAGAACCAAAGCCTTTGAACTGTGTAGGAGTGAACATAATGACAGCAGTGAATGTGATAGGCCAAGACATTGAATGCCGCAAGTCACGGCCAATCATGTACAGATCAAAGTGTGGTTTCATGATGGATGGATCGGTGCAGATGAGGGTGAGAATATGAAACACAGAGGGGAGGCTGGCCAAATTACATCCCTTCACTTTGACGGAGAAGGCAAGAGGTATGTGGTGAAAGACGAGGTGGAGCAGGGGAATAAATGAATTAAGGGAGAGCAAAATCACTGCTGAAAAACATGGCAGTCAGCCATGTCACCCTCACTTGTATATGATCCCAGCTGGAGGGCAATAAAATTAACAAAATAAAATAAAAATAAAAGATCTGCTCTCACAGAAGAAACAGTTTGATTCAGGTTCTCTTACATTTCAGCCACAATAGTGCAGAATAATATTTGGCACTTGATGATGTTCAGGATTTACCTGCAGAAGAGGATATGAGACAAAGATTCTGTTCCCTATGAACTGCATCCCAGCAGATAAATGTGGTGAGCACAGACACAGCAGCCACTAGATTGATTATCCTGAACTGTGAGGTTGCATTGATGAGTAGCCAACACAGATCACTTTAATTTACATGCCAAAGGCTGCTGTTGCACACTCACGTAGGAGAACTGGGGGTATGTAAGTGAGGACAATACACTAGAAGTTCAAAAAGTCTACTCTTGGTCATGGGCTCATCGTAAGGAACATTTCATTTAAACTCTGTTCATTACAAAGTACCTAATTACACCCACATTATCTATAATTAGTGTTTTTACATCACATTTCCAAGATAAAGCTCCTTCAATGCAGCTTCAATGTATAATTAGCCTTAGTAAGTACTTACTACATGAATAATTAGGGAGAAATTGATACTAATACACCTGTCTACCAGACAGAGAAAAAAGTAGCGTCTACAAAGACACAAAATAAACCTTATCACAGAGATAATGATTGTTTAACTGAATACTACATGTTGAAATCCTGTGGGGATAATACTAGAGAGATGCACTAAGAGAGTGTCCCTGTCACGCATCAGTGGAAGACAAACAACCACAGAAAGAATTTGATAGGTACTTTTTATCGACAAGCGAAGCCTCAAAAACACTGAGGGGGCTTCCAAGGAATGACTTATTTGGCTACACAGATTTGATATTTACGGTAAAATAGCCTTTTAAAAGTCACTGCCGCAACGACATAAGGCTGCAAGCCTCCCAGTTTTATTATCATCTTTCTGTTTATTGTGACTTCCAGTTTGTTTTGAAGCAGAAACTTTAAACTTGACATGCAAAATGCACAGGGTGGAGCAGTGATTTAGTAATCTGAACACTGAAGGTTTGGTGGTTTTTTCTTTCCTGCATGGAGAATGGGGTCAGTGCCTGAGGGCTGGCAGACTGGGGTGGTGGTTCCTATTTTTAAAAAAAGGGGGACCAGAGAGTGTGCTCCAATTATCAGGGTATCTCACTACTCGGCCTCCCTGGGAAAGCCTATCCCAGGTTGCTGAAAATGAGGCCCTGACCGACTGTTGAACTTCAGATTCAGGAGAAACAATGCAAATAATTTGTTATAATGAAGGGATATTTAATTGGTTGGTTTCAGGCATTCAAAGTTTGTGAAAACTGATCACCTTCCTCTTTTGCAGGTATAAATCTATAATTAGACATACTTAAGACATTTATTTTATTTATTCAGAGCTGTATACATTAAACCCAAAGTTGTCATTTTATTTAAAAAGCTTTGAGTTTTCCTTTTTTGTTTGAGAGTTTAGAGGGATCCCATTAGGTTTATCCTCTTACACTCTCAAACAGAAAGAGTGAGAGCATTTTGCATGGTTACCTGTCTATGACTTTTGACTGGGCATCTCAGAAATACTAGAGATTGAAAATGTCAGCTGCAGTCCCGTCTGTCACATCTTTCTGACCACAGGGACACTCAGGAATATGTTTGGCCAGAAGATGGCAGTAATGATCTGCCAGAAGAGGCCACCGGGGCAGGCGTGAGGCACGTTGCAGCAGCAGCAGGAACCTCATAGGTTAATTACACAGCACTCTCATGCCAGGAAACGTGATCATTCAAACAGTATCTAACTGGATAGAAGCACAGAGAGTGATCGAGACAGAGATAAGAAAATGTGTGAGAAAATGAGATTTTTTTTCCTCTTTCTTTTTTTTTTTGCTTGTTAATAACTGTGTCACTGTGTTTGCTTGCTAATAATCTGTACACATCTCAGTTTGTCACCACAATTTCCAGAGGTTCTTTTTTTAACACATACTGACATATAAGACATAACAGAGCTGGTGGGCCAGTTTAGACAGAATTCCACTGACCTATCTTGAGATGAACGTTTTGTAGAATAAAAACACATTCTTAGGTTTAGCTGAAGCTAATATGAGGCTTTAGCTTAGACAAATCAGGTGATAATTGCCAAAATGTAGTTTGCTTAGTTCCTTTTGGTGCTTCCAGACAACATTTCCTTATTGCACTGCAGTATAGGGATGTTAACACAAAGATAGTTTCATATTAAAATCTGTTACTTTGGGAGATACCAAGAGGAGTCTAGGTCAGACTTCTGAAGTCTCATATTAGCTTCAAGTAAATTTAGAAAGTATTTTTTGCAAAGAGAGAACTGTCAATTTTGCAGTAAACTGGATGAATATAGGTAGTGGTGATTAGTGGTTACCATCTATGTGGGAGAGCGAGAGGAGTGGTAGTTTAAGGTTAAGGAGCTGAGTGTGAGATGAGACTGTCAAAGGCTGCTGATGCTTACCACAGTCAGCGAGTGGATCCAGCCACCAGCTGTTTGGGTTAGTGAAACAGGTCCATGCAGTGACTGGGTCTTATTTTACATTTATTTACACAAAATGCACAAAAGCTTTTAGGTATTTAATGTGCTGCCTGCCTCCTCCTCACTGTCAGTAATCCCATCATGCTTTGCATGAGTTTGCCATTTGTCACAAAAATAAATGGGAGGCTGCAGCCACAACATAGCTGGTCACAGTCAGAAGAATAACAGAGAGGTAGGGATAGTGTGGAACCTCAGAGTTTTGATCTAGAAAAAGTAATGAATGCAGGAGTAAAGGAGGGTCAATATAGAGATCCTACCAATACAACTTCAGCTAACATTTAAGGTTAAGGTCAACACATGAGTTGGGGCAAGTCACTAGTTACACAAGGAAGCATTTCAGTTACTTCTCTAGTGATTTACGCTTTCCCCTTATTTTTCAGTCTCGGCTAACTGCCCGTTGCATGGTATTCTCACAACACAGTCTTGTGACTGTAAAACCAACTCACTCACTGGTGACTTTAGGAAAATCAAACTCTGCTCCTGGCTAGATGGCTCTTCAAGTGTATGAAATCTTAACAACCCTCATGAAAACCTTGCTTGATAAAACTATGTCTAAACTCACTGCAGTGTCTGTAGATTTAGTCTTTGTAAGCACATGCAAAATAGTTTCAATATGCCCTTCTACCAAAAAAGTAGAGCCTTTAAAAACTCCAAGACCAATTAACATTTCCACTGGGGTAATAAACAAGTACCAGTTCTACAAGGTCACATATTGATCTACTGTTCTTAACCGATCTGGATTATCATAATTGAATATTATAGCAGAGCACATCCTTTCAAAGATTGGTGATGAATGCCTCCTGAAGTCCTGAATGTTCTTCAGTAAAATCTCAACAAAATTAACATTAATTAAATAGTGAAAATGTGACTAAACTTAATAGACATCTTCATCAGTTAACTGAATAAAAATCTGGTGACCAGTTTCCAGACCTCAGCTGAAGCCTCCTCTTTAACTGTCTCAAAGAGAACCTGACACTGTTATCCCTGTGTGTTGACAGTGCATGATGCACTTTGCTACTGTAATGTACTGTACTAAATACACGGTACACGTGCCTAGATGTGTACACTTGTATACACTGGCTGCTGAACTGGTCATATTTCATGTAGAATTTCCCTTTGCTTTTAAATAAAGGAGAGGATGGAGCAGAAAATAAGTACAAAAGTATAATAGAACAGGAAATTTTATAAAGTTGGTGTACAAGATTGAAAATGTTATATAATGTGTGCTCTATGTTTCTGTGGTTGTGCATATTTGTGTGTCTGTGCATATACAGTAACTAGAGAAAAGAAAAAAGGAAAATGAGCTAGCGAGTTAGAAAGCAAGTGAGCTACAATATTTGCTAACAGGCATACAGTGTATAACCATGGGCTGGAAGCGTGGGCATTGTTACCAGGAGTCATTAGTGTCACCACAGTCAGACATAAATAGTTTAAAGACTGCTCAGGGGTACCTTTTTGCCCATTTAGTGCAGAAAGCATTGACCATCTTGGTGAAGAAGCTCAGTGTGTGCGGGAGTCTATCCCAATTATGCTCTACTCCCAAGGTGGCAAAGTTCTTTCCTTATCAGGTAGGAAAATGATATTTTGAGACTGGAATCACCAGCTTCTTAGCATATTTTCCAGGGTGGTAAGGCTGGAAAATCCATTATGGGATGTCCTCAACACAAAACACTGTTTATTCGAGACCTGCAGCTAGTTTCTACTCATGGGACAGTTAAAGGACAATACTGTGTTCATGTTCAAAGATAGTCTACTTATTCCTGTAGGTGTCAAATCTAGCATGGACAACTATTTTCTTTTTGTTATAAAACTTTGTTATAAAGCTTTCCCCTTAAGAAGAAATGTTTTTGAATGGTGGAAGCATGCCTTATTT